GTGTATATCAATATTTATTCTTCATTCTGACATGTGTGCAAACAGAAAAAAACGATGGAAGGTAAAAAATATATATTGTAATAGTATGAAATTCACAGCGTACAGGTAAGTGCATGTCTGAACTTAATTTTCAAAGTAGATTTTGAGTAGTATAATGCATGCATAAATATGCCTTTAGAGGTACAATATATTTTGTTTATTTTTTATATGTAGTCATTAGTAGTTGAAATGGTTCATTTTCAAAAGAGATACAATTTTTGTTATTTAGACAATCTCTAAATAATACCAAAGAAAACTATGTATTAGACTTCTGCTTATTAGCTATTCAATGGCCAGCACTATTTAAATATTTGCTAGCTATTTGATGTTCTCATTATCTTCTAATGCATAGCTAATTAAATCGCCAGCACTAGGTAAACTTGTCTAGCGCTATTTAAAAAATGTTTATAGTTATTTGAATTGTTGCTGATTGTCAACGAAAATGCAAAATGCATACATGTACTTAACCTAAATGGGTCATTCTCGAAACGGATACTTTTTAATAGATCATTCTTTTATAAATATCTCAAGCTAGTTAAATATTTCCTTCATTCGTAACAAAACTTGATTTTTAATGTATTCATTTTATGTACTATTCAGAACTAGGATTATTTAAAAAAATATCATAACAATTCAAAGTGTTTGATAAATAATGGGGAAAATAGGAATATACAGTTTTTTGTGAGTCAGCCACCAGAGATGTCCATGGCGGCGCTGCCACTGCCGCCGTGGCGTTCGCGACGCGGCAGCGGTAGATTCTTTTTCAAAACTGCGGCGGTGCGGCACACTTCTTTTTATTATAGTCGCAGCGCGGCAGCGGCGCGTTAGCTTTTTTACAATATCGGCGTGGCGTGGCAGCGGCAGATTCTCAACCGCAATGGACATCTCTACCAGCTACCCCATAACATAAACAGATCAAAAATTCTATAAAAAAAATAGTCAGCTACTTAAATAATAGAATAGTTATGTACATTTTTTTAAATAGCTATGCTGTTTAATTAAAAGGTATCTCTTTTCAGACGCTACGAGCTGAAATATTCTATGATGTTAATGAATTTGTTTATTCGAAATCAAAGACAATATTGTTATCGTCTATTAATTTTTCATTCATGTAAAAGTCGTTTCATTTATACTCGTTATACATCTACCGTTTCGATTACTTTTGGTATTTATCTAATATTCATAACTATGGTTTATTATATTCTTCTCAAACAATATTTCAATACATTACTGATACCATTGAAACGACCACATGATCAAAATATGATTTCTACACTGCATACTCGTACAACTGTATTTCCTACATCAACGAATCCTCATAACGTCTTATTAGTAACAGCAGCCTCTGCTCAATTTATCGATCGATTAGAAAATCTGATTGGTTCAATCCATTTTCATGAACCTCATATACCAATTCTTGTCTTTGATCTTGGTATGACTGATGCTCAACGCTTTCGGCTATCGTGCATAGTAGATATTGAAATAGAACTATTTCCATTCGAAATTTATCCAGCTCATGTATCCGATCTGAATACATTTGCCTACAAAGCTCTCCTATGGAAAGAAATATTTGAGAAATACAGATACAAATCAAAAACTATTTTCTATCTTGATGCTGGTACTGAATTGCGTTCATCAGTCGAATCAATTATTAAAACGACTGAAACACAAGGTTATTTTCTTACTCGACAAAAAACATTGATTTTCAATCATACAGATGAACAAACATTTATAGCATTAAATATGACCAGAAATCAATTCAGTACTGGTAATCATTATCAAACAGCTGGCGGTATAGTCGGGTTTAATACAAATTTTTCTAATTTTTACAATGATATTCTAATACCATTTGTTACTTGTTCTTTGAATATTAATTGTATTGCTCCATTGAATTCATATTTATCGACTACACATCGTTTTGATCAATCTGTTTTATCAATTCTTGTCTATAAAGCTAATTATAAAGTCGAAAATGATGAAAAATTCTATGGTGATTTTGGATCTGCAACTGAACTCGATGGAAGTATGGTGATATTTTCTCGTCGTTGGCATTGTCCTAAAGTTTATGCAGCAGCAGTAGTATTTCGATCGAAATGTGATTATCCGTTAATATTCCATTCACAACGTCATAATAGAATGATTCATGAACATAAAACTGTATATTCGTGTGGAACATTGACAATTATTAAGATTCGTTCTCTTCAGATAGAATTACCGGTTTATCAAGTACATGTCCTGATTTATATCATCTATATTTTGATCATGACTAGTGTTTATTGTGTAATACTTTATATATTAAGTTTATTATTATTACCGAAATTAATAGAAACAACAAAGACTATTGATTTCTAATTTTAAAGATTTGTTATTCGTCTTCCAGGGTGTGGGTGAAACATGAATGTAAGGCCCTCTTGTGATACTTAGATGTGCAACATACACAATATCAGCAGATAAAATATGAGTTTAGTAGTCAAAAGTAATATTCTATGGAATAAAGAATTGAATAAAAAAGCTGGCTACTTTATCTTTCATTCATTATTCCTGCTAAATGAATTAACAAAATGTTTTGTTAAACATAAAACAACAACTTTTCTCATCGACATAAAATCAATTAGATGCTTCGTAAAAACTAATGTTTCTTTTCAGTCCATCTTCATATACTTTGCCAGAATAAACGGATGCAAGAAATTTCCATAACGATCGTGTACTTTGTACATACATCAACTCTATAAACAAACGAAATTGTATGACCTATAAATACATATGTGGATATTTACAAGTAATATGAAGATCAAACGTCTATATCATACAGTATTTATATTTACAAAAGGGTGTGAGTGTCGGTACATTTTATCTTCTCCTAGGATCACACTTTCACTCTCAAGATAATATCATGATCATGGTTTTCTTTTAATTTTGAACAATATTTACAGATTGTGAAACACATGTAAATATGAATAATTTATTAAGAAATCAATAGAAGAATTTTAGATAGATTGATTTTGTTTCCTAGTTAATAGAAATAGATGACAAACGGGGGTTTCCGAATTTCGCCAATTGTCAAAGAATCAGTTAATTATGGCCATTGTTCCCAAAAGAATATGAATGCAGAATATATCTTGTTACTTCCAAATATCAATATAACTGGTGGAAATTTTTCTAATCTGTAGATTGCACTGCTCTCGAATACAAAGATCTCACTACATAGCAATTTATTATTCATATCTACTATGTAAAATTTTTCGCTGAATATGGCAACATCTACGAATTATGATTCTCATGAAGTCTAAGAGGAAATATTGCACGAAGATCTTGCATAATTTTTAGTCATACAGATAGATATAAGAAATAACATACCGATACACGCTATCAGTGTGATAGGTTGTTTCGAAGCCTATTATACTCTGAAACATTTCTGAATACTTTTACATGCTAATAAAATTTATTCGAGACTGTTTTGGAACGAAAAATAAAATATCTATCATAATAATAAAAAACTTTACCAAATGGTTAAATACAAAGTTGGATAGTTACATACTGTAAAATAAATTAAAGTAACGAAGAAATAGTAGATCTGTGTACAGTTTTGTCTTCATATTTCAACGATACTTCTCAATAGATATACTGCACTAATCAGTTTGATTTTCTTTGGAGTGGCTTGAATGGATAGATTTAAGACTAACAATGAGACAATTACTAATCGCAAAGACATATTAAATAGAAACTGTCTTATTGTTGATACTCTTCCGTTAAAATACATATGCATATAAAAATAAGGTAAGTAGAATGTAAGTATTTTGTTTACCACATTAGTGCGTATATTTGATATGATTATATAGATCGTATTTTAGATTACCTTTTATTGTTATTTACAGACATATTCATCTCTGTTATTCATGAACTTACCTCAAAGTCTTTTTGTAACCGAAATGTACCAATGATCATACATTCTAAATCCGATGGACACTATCAAACAGTTAAATAATATGAAAAATTACACTATAAAACTAACAGAACATTTGAAAGGATAATTAAAGTTATTGTATCAGCTGTAACTTTTGTTAATCCTAATAAATTAAGCTACAAGAGTAAAAAAACCAAAAGTATTCTTTTTTATTTGGAATCGAATATTAAAATATGCGACAACTCAGTAAAGGTATCGAAGAAACAATTCGTGGACATCATAAGAGGCCAGTTATTCTAATTAAAATATTGTTTTGAATGTGGACTACTTGCAAGGAAAAGAATAAAACGATTGAAAGTTAATTTGTATGAAATAATGAAAATAATTCTGCACTATTTAAAGGCATTCTACCATTGTATCCACCAGTAACTAATACTAGTGCATTTGATAATACAGATGTTGTGTGATCAAATCGTGCGTCAGTCATGTTACCAGTAGTTACCCAAATACCTGTTGATGGATCATACAGCTCAGCACTATTTAAAACAACTCCACCAACAACTAATACTTTTCCATTTGATAATACAGATGCTTTGTGAGCAGTCCGCGCATTTGCCATACTACCAGTAGCTGTCCAAGTACCGGTTGATGGGTCATAGAGCTCAGCACTATTTAAATTACCACTATGACCATCGTATCCACCGGCAACTAATACTAGCCCATTTGATAATACAGATGCTGTGTGACGATCTCGTGTATTAGCCATGCTACCAGTAGTTGTCCATGTACCCGTTGATGGATCATACAGCTCAGCGCTATTTAAAGCACTAATGCCATTTACTCCTCCACCAGTAATTAATACTTTTCCATTTGATAATACAGATGCTGTGTGATCTTGTCGTACACTATGCATGTTACCAGTAGTTGTCCAAGTACCTGTCGATTGATTATAGAGCTCAGCACTATTATAAACAGTACTACTATTCCATCCGCCAGCAACTAATACTAGTCCATTCGATAATACAGATGCTGTGTGATAAACTCGTGTATAAGTCATGCTACCAGTAGTTGTCCAAGTACCTGTTGACGGATCATACAATTCAGCACTATTTAAATAATCATTACCTTGTCCACCGGTAACTAATACTTTTCCATTTGATAATACAGAAACTGTGTGGGAATCCCGTCCATTATTCATGTTACCAGTAGTTGTCCATGTACCCGTTGATGAATCATACAATTCAGCACTATTTAAAATATTACCACTATTGTCTTGACCACCAGTAATTAATACTAGTCCATTTGACAATACAGATGCTGTGTGAACATAGCGTGCATTAGTCATGTTACCGGTAACAGACCATTCTAGATAGAAACATTTGATTGTATTCATTCTCGAAAGACTGTCTCTTGTGTAACTCTCAAGCTTGTTGTGAAAAATCATTCTGAATGATACGGTACGAAAGTAAGTTTCGCATTTTTGATAAAGAATCGTATGTGAGGATGACATATGAAACAAATTTGTATTTTATAATTGCCATTACGATGTTTCTAAGAATTAATGCACTTTTTTATTATATACAGCTTCTACTGATGATAGTCATTTAATGGAACTTCCTAGGTAAAGGAAAAGCGAACTTCTTTTCTTTTTCCAATTCGTTTCTTAAGAAATTTTGCAGTTGGAAACGGTGACCAAATACGACTGCGTTTACGGCACTATTCCAGACTAAGAAATACGGTGATTTATCATGATCAAAGAATATAGACCGCACCTTATCGTGTCCGAAACCTGGACTCTGACTTATGCAGGGAACAGAAGAATGAATCGAAGGTGACGAATGAACTAATAGATAATACGTAAATACACCTATTTATATTTACACAAGAAAGACAAAGAAGGAGATTGGACTGGTATTTCCATGCGCGAAAATACCGTGCGTGACAGATATGCGTACGCTCCTTTGTGGCAAAATGATTTCTTTCTGTTCACTTTTCAGTTAAAAGTACCATTTAAGGAGGGTGGAAAACGTTACTCTGAAGCTTACCTGACTGCTGAGTTGTAGTTGTAGCTGTTGTTTGTGGCAGAGTTGTGGTCGATGTCACTAGTGATGTTGTTGTTGTTGATGACGGTGGTATTGATATTGATATTGTTGTTGTTAGTGATGATGATGATAATGTTGAGGGGGTGGTACTAGTTTCTGATTTCTTCGGTGCAAAAACGACGAAGTTTAACACCAGAGCAAGAATAACAGCAAAAACTATTAAAATAATAACGGAAATGCCGATTATTTTGAACCGACGGTGGTGCCACCATTTGTGTGGTCCATTATTTACAGTAACACGCTCTCTGTACACTTGATTGCTGGGCATATTACGTTTAAGATGAAACTCAGGCGCAAAAAAAAGAACACACTGTTGTCCGAAGTTACTTTCTGTTTGCCTGTTACTCTCACATAAGTAGCAGAAGATAACAAATATTATTTCCAACATGAAAGATGTTGTTATACTCTTATCTTAATATTATTTTTTTCATTCCGTCTACATAATAGTCCAAGTTCTACCTTTTTTTACAAGGTAGAATCAACAGACTCCGGATCCGTAACGAATGTTTTGAGACTCTTGGAGTGATTGAGTTTGGTTGAAAATGTTCGAATAGAGAATGTGGGTGTGGATGTTGGTGATCATTAGTAGTCAAACCCACATCCATCCTCAAGATTTTCATGCTCATCAAATACTCTTTTCTTTTGTTCTTTCATTACATCTGAAATTATAATATTTCTTCAATCGAACTTAAATACATTATCAGTTATGCGATTTTGTTTTGATTAACGAAAGTAAAAGAAAACATGAATAGAACAGATTCATGTCTACTTGATCATTTTTCTATAAGAATTCATTCATTATACATATTTCTTTGAAAACAAATAAAAGATTTAGTTATTATTTTGATACTCTTTTCATTACTTTTTGAAAAACATTATTCTTGAATAGAGTAAAAAATATATTTAATAACATTTGAGGATGTTTGAGGATACAAATGAATAATGGGCATCCACACCCAAATGTTGTATTTTTTGATAGAATGATTTCATTATATTTTTACGTAATTCATGATCCAAATTCATTTGTCGATTAATGACAAATTTGAATAGATCTTGTAATATTTCATTGAAATACTATGTTTATTGTATTATAGTTAACTTGTCTTCTTCCTATTGTAAATTTTGATTTATTTAAAAATAAAAACTAAATTGAAAATAATGTTCTTTTAGATTTATTATACAATAAGATTCTAAACAAATAGCTGTCAAATATTCTTATATAATAACATTAGTATGTTTATTAATTATACCAAATTATTTAATATGATATATTATATTATGTGTTAGGACATGTTGTTCTATCGAAATTATATTCAATCAATTCTAGTGAAACAGTTTATTAGATAAGTTCAGTAACGGGAACAGCTTTAAAAAAGATGTCATTTGGAATAATGGCAATATTATTTTTAAACATCTTTCTTCTTATTATTCTAGTGATATTCAGTATATTATAAATGGTAAATATTCGTCATCATTGTTCTTCAATAAATTCTTCGTCAAATTAAATTATTAAAATGCTAATCAAGTGACTTCAACATATGTAAATTATTTCGTTCTGGTTTTTCGATACCCTTATGCCACAAGATGAGGTAACAGCCGCTTCATAATGATACGATTAAACTATCGTCTTGAAGATAGAAACACAGTAAAATCGTGTTTCACATTTTAATCCTATCAAAGATTACGCTAACAGCTTTTTTTCTGATGTTAGATCTTTAATTTGCGTTTTATTTTATTATATTTAAAGTTTTATTCTTATACTGTAACGCTTTTTAAAATCAGCTCCATGTTGTGACAATAAGGGATTGATATGGGTGTGGATATATTGTATCATTCTTCTCATATCATACCGACACCCACACCCTCATAAAGTCGATAATAGCACCAATAAAAACATCATCATAAATTTCCAAATGATAAATTGTTGTTACATCTATAAGCCATTCGATTTTATCATATGTCTCTATATATTTATCCATAGGAATATCTCGAATAGTAAGTAAAGTCAAAGGATTAACATTAAAATCGTTGTCAGTATTAATAAATTCATACCATTTTTTTCTAAAAGAAACAATCATATAACATAAAAAGTAGTTCTAATTAATATTGTAATCGAGAAGTTCCGTAGTCTATATTTTCTGCTGTGAGTTTTATAAACATACCTGTATGGTTTCATAAAAAGAGAAATAATCTCAGGTTCAATAACAATTTCAACAAAGCATTGTCGATTTATCCAAAATGAAGAAATAAATTGATCACATATACAACCATCAAAGATAAATTCATCTTCATCATATGTATATACACTATAATTGAAAGAAAACTTTTCTAATTGAGGAAAACTTTGTAGAATCAATTATTCCCACATATCAAAATCAAGATATTCTAATTCTTTTTCAGTATAAGCTAAATTGAAACTTTTAAGAGTAGAAGGTAATTTACTTAAAAATATTTCGAATTCATCAAACTCTAGAAATGATATATTTATTGAGATATGTGTTAATTACGATAATTCGATTGATGAAATCATTTGAATTATTGGATAATTTATATCCCGATGCCAAAATTTCAAATGATAAACTTTAGGTGTATAAGAAAGTATAGCAGCAAGTTCGCTGAATGTAATAGAATAGTCAATAATCAGATGTTCAATCATACTCAATTGTTGATTGTCAGTAGCAAATGGTAATGGGACAAGATCCTTGAATTGATGAGATATTATTTTAAGATATTTTAATTTGGTAAGGTAAAAATTAAGAAATAAATTTGACATAGATCTATTAATTGATCAAATGGCATAAGACGTAGTAAATGAATACAATTCTTTAGAAGTATTAAAAGTGTATTTGGTTGAATATTTTCAAGATAAATTGATTGAAGACGATCAAATGATGAATCGATGTTAAATGATGATAGAAATTTATCAATATAGAATTCAGATGATAAATTAAGTGAAAAAATCTGATGTGGATTAATAGATTTCATATGTTGATAATTATTTAGAAATAAATCATCAGATATAAAATCAAATTTAATTTTATATAAAAGTAATGAAGAATTAAGAAGTTGAGAAAAATGATAATTAAGATTTGAAAATGCTTAATAAATATCACAACCATCGAGATAATCAAATATTTCAATAGAATTTATCATGTCATTGATCTAAAAATTTATAATAAATAAATTCGTTTTTCTCTCTTAACAAAATCGAATGATAATACATTTTTCTTTTCCGTTCGTCCAGTCGACGACGATGTTTATGTTTTCGTCCGAGAAAAATACACCCATGTCGAGGTGATTTCTCAAATCGACGATAAATACCGCTTAATCATCGATTTTTGGATAATTAATTTCAATTTATTAATTAATTAACGGAAAAGAAATTAAAAATAATTTTTGCATAGTATTCTATTCATATTCGTAAGGATTACGTTTCAATATAGGTGTCGCTATTGTAATTGAACGAGATTAGACCATTTTAAATAGGTCGCAATAAATTTGTTCAATGCATTCATTGTTAGATGATTCTATAAATCTCCGAGTGGTACAAAACTAAACAGTTTTGTTTACAGAACGGTGTCTTTGTTTGTGCATCGTAATAATGCACTTTTTATCTTTAGTGAGAATTGTTTTCTTGTTAGATATTTAGAATATGAGAAATCACAGCTATATGAAATATTCTACCAGCAAGTATTAAGAATAGAATAGGGGGCAAAATCATCCTTCCAGGGCATGAGTATTGATTAGATACAATACCAACAGTCATACTCACACCGAGACATTCCTGTGTTAGATTTTGAACTGATTGTTTTACAAGTAGAGTTTTGAATACAGTTGTACATAATACATTTTGACCTCATACACAGCTATGCTTACACGATAGTAGATGCTCATGAGAAAATGCTACGTATAGAAAGAAAGTTTATCTATGTGAGTAAAACAAGCTCAATATATCTTCGTTTACGTTATTTCATTGTTGTAAATTACACGATGCCTTGAGAGTGTGGGTGTGGGGTAAGGGAGAAGCTAAGAGAAGAGGTACTCAC